AAGTGACAGGAGTGGTGGCGATGATGATGACTGGCCGTGTGCTGCTGGTGTGTGCCCTCTGCGTGCTGTGGTGCGGTGCCGGCGGTAGATGTGACGAGGTGCTACCTGTTGCCGTTTCATCTGTTATTTCTGCGAGCGGTGTTTCTGGAGCTCCCGACAATGCCAGCGGTCAGACGTCGTCTGGTGTAGCGGGAAACCCTTCCGCAGAGCAAACACAGCTGAATAAGGTTGGGAATTCCGCACCCGGGTCCCCGCAATTGCAAGTTGATTTACAGACTCAATCGCCAACAATACAGCAGACACACTCCGGTGCCGAAAATGCGATTTCATCGACAACTTCAAAACCATCGGGAGAACAGCTGCAAAATGTACCAGACGGAGTTCCTCCAGGGGAACCGGAGGCGTCACTCGGTCAGGAGGAGGGGAAGAATGAAACAATTGCAAATCAACAGAGTAATGGTCCGCCATCTCCTTCAAGTAACAACGATATTGTCAGCCGTAATAGTGGGGAACGCACAGAAGATACTTCGAGGCGTGCTGAAACTCTTGTTGCCGCACCGTCAGAAGAAGCACAACAGCGTGAAAATGTCACTCGTTCCTTGGAACAACCTCGGGAAGCTTCCACAGCCGCACCGGCCGTTACAACTCAAACAATTTTCATGACGCTGCCTAAAGACGGTGAAAGCAGCGGCGTCAAAATGAGTGAGGCATCACCTCAATCAGCACGCACCGCTCAAACAAATCATACGACGACACCTGGCGACAGTGACGGCAGCACCGCGGTCTCCCACGCCACCTCCCCTCTTTTGCTTCTTCTTGTTGTTGCGTGTGCGGCTGCGGCTGCGGTGGTGGCCGCGTGAGAGTGAGGGAGAGAGAGCCGTGCACCGCCCGCACACACACTCGTCCTTCTCTCTCTCTGTGTGTCCCCTTGCATGGACTCTCGCCCTCACGTCACCCCACGAGGCACACACAATAATGTGCCCATTGTATATATGCATGCACACCCATGCAGGCCCGTTGGTGCTCTCTTTTGCACGACACGCACCGCTGCCGTCCTGCCTGGCTGCATGGGCGGAGCGCCGTAACTGTTTCTGTTTTGTTTTTATTGCATTGAGTGGGCGACCTCTCTCTCTCCCTCTGTGTGTGTGTTTTGCTTTACGGGAGTAATGAGAGTGTGTGCGCTGGTCGTCCCACGCTTCGGCTTCTTGTTTTGTTTTCCTTTTTGATTTTGTGGTTGAGTGCACCCATTCCGCGGCTGCGTGTGTGTGTGTGTGCGATGATATGAGTAATTTGCGTGTGTGCTATCTGCCTCTCTCTGCCGTTGCTTTCTTCTGACTCTCTTGTGGCGCGCAGCTGCTCTGCAAGTATAGGCGCTGCCAAACACACACACATGCACATGCACATGTCATTTTTCACACAATTTTGGCTGTGGTGGCATTTGTGGGGATGGAGGGCGTGAGCTCGCCGTGCGTCCCTTGGACTTGCTGCGGTTGTGGTGTTGGCGACGTGCAGCGGTTGACTAATGTGATGTGGCGTTGAGGATGCCTGGGAGGAGTGCGCATGGATTCTTGCCCAGCAGCTGCACGTGCCGGCGTGTTTGTCCCACTGTGGATTTTCCGACGAAGGATTCTCCGGCTGTGCGGGGCGATGTGTGATGAATGGTGCGGGGAGAGACAACAGTAAAACGACTGGCGGCAGTACATGTGGGCGTTGCTCTGTGTATTCTGACGCGTGGCGGAAGCGCAAGATACCCGCTGTGGCTTTTACTGCTGGTGGCAGTCGCTGTGTGTTCCCGGTGCACTGTTTTTCCTTCTCATTCCGTGTGTCTGTGTGCGTGAGTTGTTGTTGTTGGGAGTGACTGCGGTGGGGATGATGGTGCCACTCACCGTGGATGGGTGGCGGTGTTCACTGTTTCACTTCTTTTTCCTCTTTTCTCTCTTTCCCACACACAAAGAAGTAAAGGAAGTAAGGCTAAACGCTAAAGGCTGCTGTGAGATTGTAAGGCACTGAAAGGACCAACAGCACACACACCGCCCACACACATATTTATATGCTCTCACGTGTTGCTGCAGTGAAGGCACCCCGCACACACAACCGTCGCCGCGTGACCGGATCCAGCGGAAGGAGGAGGGAAGGAGGAGAGAGTGAGCCGCAGACGCCCACCATGTCCCGGCATCTCTTCTACTCTGCGGTGCTGCTCCTCGTTGTCGTGATGATGTGCTGCAACGCTGGTGGTGCTGCGGAAGCTCCGGAGCAGTCACCTGAACACCCGTTTGAATGGAAACACGTCAAGGAGGAGGGTGGTGTAACTGTGGAATCGTTGGGTGCTCCCAGCCTTCTAAAAGTGGGGATTGACGTGTTTGCCGTTGCCGAGGCGAAGGAAACGAAGATGGCTGATGGCAGCTTTACTGGCATTGCATCCCAACTTCTCACGGAAACAGTGAAAAAAAAGGATAACACACCGGTGGAAATAATGAAGGATGCCAACACGAAGACACAATTTCTGGAGAAAAGCACTTCTCCAAACAGCAAAGTGGATGTGAGCCGACCAACAACAATTGTGAAGGGAAATGATATTTACATGCTTGTTGGGAAGTACAACCGTGATGATGCTCAGGAGAGTGGTGGGGGTGACTCGGGGCTGTTGCTGGTGAAAGGGAACGTCAGTGAAGAACATAACAAAAAAATTGACTGGAAAAATACTGAAAGTCTCCCGCGAGGACCTTTTGACACAGAACCCGAATCCTTGACGGGACTTTTTGGAGGCGGTGGATCGGGTGTTAAGATGCATGATGATACGCTTGTGTTCCCCGTGGAAGGCACGAAGAAGGGGAACAAGAAGGATGTGAAAACTGTTTCGCTCATCATATCTTCTCCGAAGGATACTTCTGAGAGTTGGAAGCTGTCAAACGAGGTTCCTTACGATGGCTGCAGTGATCCCTCCGTCGTGGAGTGGGGGGAGAAGGAAAAAAAACTCATGATGATGACTGCGTGTGATGATGGCCGCCGCAGGGTGTACGAGTCCGGTGACAAGGGGGAGTCGTGGACGGAGGCACTCGGGACACTCTCGCGCGTGTGGAGCAACAAACATGGCGAAGGAGTGAAGGCCGCTAGAAGCGGGTTCATCACAGCGAAGATTGATGACAGGGACGTGATGCTCGTTACTCTGCCGGTTTATCCCGAGAAGGACGGTAAAAAAGAAAACGGTGAACTCCATCTTTGGCTGACGGACAATACGCACATTGTTGATATTGGGCCGGTATCCGATGATGACGCTGCCGCCAGCTCTCTGCTGTACAGAAGTGGTAAAAGTGGTGATAATAAGGAGGAGGAGAAGTTTATTGCACTGTACGAGAAGAAGAAGGAAGATGAGAAACCATCACCCGGTATGGTCTATGTGCTTCTGACTGAGCAGCTGCAGCGTGTGAAGGATGTGCTGGCGACGTGGAAGGAAGTTGACGAACGTGTCTCCAAGCTGTGCACCTCAAGTGCTGAGAAGGATGCCTCATCTGTAAATGCCTGCGGCACTACCGTTAAGATCACGGATGGGCTGGTTGGCTTTTTGTCCGACAACTTCTCTGAGAGCACATGGAGTGACGAGTACCTCGGGGTGAACGCCACAGTGAGGAAGAAAGAAGGGGCTGCAAAGAATACAAGGGAGACAGGGGCAACAAAGACTTCCGATGGTGTGAAGTTCCATGGAGCGTGGGCGGAGTGGCCCGTTGGCAGTCAGGGGGAGAATCAGCTGTACCACTTTGCGAACTACAAATTCACTCTTGTGGCGACGGTGTCCATCGACGGTGTGCCAGAGGGAGATACCCCCATTCCTTTGATGGGTGTAAAGATGAATGACAGCGGGAAGACTGTTCTCCTGGGACTGTCGTACAACAAAGAAAAGAAGTGGAAGTTGTCTTGCGGTGGCGGGTCGATCAAGGAGCACAGCAACACTTGGAAGACAAAGACATCAGAGCACGTGGTAATTTTACTACGGAACGGCAGCCAGGGCTCCGCGTACGTCGATGGTCATCGCGTGGGTGGGGATCCGCCATGTGCATTGGGAAATACGGATTCGAAAAAGATCTCCCACTTCTACATTGGAGGGGATGGAGGTGCAAAAGCCGACTCGGAGGTCCAAGACGTGTCTATGACCGTCTCGAACGTCCTGCTGTACAACCGCCCGTTGAGCTCTGAAGAGGTTGGGGCCTTCAACCCGAATAAAGACTCCACTCCACCTTTGGAAAAGGAGGCGGCGAAACCTTCAGCCGTTTCTTCTGGTTCCGTTGTATCTTCCTTTCCTCCGGTGTCCGCAGCTGCTCAGAAAACCGAAACTTCGTCTACTGCCGGAACACAGCCTACAGAAAAGGGACAGTCGATGGGGAGCAGTGGTGCGGGCAATGGCAGTGCATCCGCACCAGCGGTGTCCACTGTCAGTACTTCCCCAGCAGAAGAGGAGTCCGTAGTGCAGGTGACGTCAGGAACATCTCCCGACGGAAATCAAACTGTGGGTGGCGGTTCTACTGCTGATGGCGAGCCAACGATGGAGACAAGAGAAGGAACGGATGTGCAGGAGGAGGAGATCCATGCACAGCACGGCGAAGTAAAGGCTGCGGCACTCAGCAGCAGCCTCGGAAATGTGTCGCAGAGGAATAACAGCGATGCCGGCACTGTGTGTGGGAGCGGACTGCTGCCGCTGCTTCTTCTGTTGGGACTGTGGGTGTTTGCGGCTCTGTGAGGAGTGAGTGACTGCCGCGTGGGACACTTGCAACCTCCCCTGCACCGACACGCACGGCAATTAATTTATCTTCTTTAATAACTTTTATTTACTTCTTCCCTGTTTGATTTGCTGTGCGTTTTATATCCCCATCTTTTCTTTTTTGCTTTTTGCTTTTGGGGCAATCACTATGGACGTGTTTTCTTTTCTACACTTCCCTCTTTAATTGTTTGTTGCTGCGCTCTTCCTGCGAGGGGTGCCGTGCGTTTCCGCCCAACTGCTCCACTCGCACGCCCACCGACACGCTCATGACGACGGCCCTGTGCGCCTCGCCTGCTGCACGCATGAGGAGGGGCGGCGACGAACGGCGCGCTGAGGGAGCCGTGACGTGTGGGCGTGCGACGAGGGCCTGTGGGGCGGAGCACACATTTCTTCCCTCTTGTTTTGTTTTCTTTGCGGCGAGGGCGGGCAGACACCCGCAGCGCCACACACACAGCCACACCCTGCCGCCGTGTTTTTCTTTAAGGATTTGTTTTGCTTTGCGTGTTTATTTCATGCGGTGGCGCACCCTTCGGTGTCGGCCTCGTGAGCATTTCTCTCCCCTCCGATGATTTCTTTTTCTTTTGCTGCGCTCACTCTCCCGATGGAGTGACGCGACTGCCGTCATGTCTGCGTGCTTCTCTCAGTCCCCACACACACGAGTGACTGTGCTCTGCGGGCCGCACTCACGCGCCGATGAGAGGGCTGAGGGGAGCAGCAACACGCAGATGACCCCATGAAATATAAACGATGTGCGGACACACGGAGGGTCGGACGGTCGAAGCACACGTAGCCATCTTTTTAATTTTCTTTTGCGGGCAAAATACATACAGACAGTTTGGTGTGGCCACACGGCAGCCAGGCGATCTTTTTCTTATTTTACATTTGTGTGGAGCAGTAATGGACGATTTCTTTTTCATTTATAATTATTTTGTGTGATGGGGTTTACATAAGACGAAGGGGACGTTTTTGTTTTCAATAAATATTGTGTGAATTGCCGCTGCTTCGGCTGCAGTGCAGTGATGAGTTTGAGCGGTCTTCTTGTTGTTGTTTCCGTTATGCGTCTCCGCTGTACATTTTTGTGCGTCCCTCCACATACTCTGCTCCCTCTTTTCCACTTCTTTGCTTTGTGTTTCTGCAGGCACACACAACCACACACACACAAGATGCACATTGCAGTGGATTTGAATGCACCTTTTGTAGTGCATGCTGGCAGTTTGCGTGTGGCGGCTGTTGTCTTCTTCCGTGGCCATGAGGAGGAGGGAGAGAGGGAGCGCAGCCCGAGTCTATTTTCCTGTGGATGTGAAGCACCGCGTGTGACTGCGCTGAGTTGGGCTCCGTGTCCCATTGATGGCGGGATGGCAGGAAATTTTGTGCCGCGTGATGGATGGATGAGGGTTCGCTTGCTCCGTGTGCGTTGTGTGGTGGCCGCGGGGTTTGCCATTTCCCTGGGGCTGCGGGAATGAGCTGGGGAGATGGTGGTGGATGTCTTCTCCTCCTGCATGGTGGGTGGCTGCTGGCGTTGTGTGCCTTCCTTGCGTGGATGCCGTCTCGTGGTGTGTGGACTGTGCAGCTGGGCCTGCTGCCCTCTCCTCATGTTGTCTGCTCTCTCGCTGTATCCGCTGTGCTCCGTCCCTCTCCCTCTCGTTCCATTCCATTCCTTCCCGTCTCACCGATCAGCTGACTGACACCAGCGACTCCACTACGGGCGATGGTGACTGCGATGGTGACGGTGCGGCGCCGTGTTGGTCCTTGCGCTCTTGTGCTGCTGCTGCTCGTCCGTGTGCGTGACGGCGACAGGAGACGATAATAATGATAACAGCCGTCCTCCCAGCCCTGAGCTAGGGAAACCGGATCCTACAAAAACATGCCTGGTGCATTGCAGCCATATGGTGGGGAGACCGGTGTGCCACAGACAGAGAGTGGGAAAGACAGCGAGGAGGGTTTGAGAAGTCCAGGACCTTCGTTGCCAAAGGAAGCAGGCACAGCCATCACTGGACGGACACGAGTTCCGCCAGTGACACTCAGTTCGGCTAGCGATAATCCAGAGCCAGCAGGTTTGGCAACTCAGTCTCCACACACACACAAGGCGCGACCGGTATGTTAGATGCACAAAATAAAAGGGAGCAGTAAATACACAAGGCGATGAGAATCATAAGGCACGGATATCAAGTCGGAAGATCAAAATGCCAAATACGATAACAATCACTACAACAGAGCTAGCTCGTACTACGACTACGACTACAGAGGCGCCAACCACGACGACCACCCGCGCACCGTCACGTCTTCGCGAAATCGACGGCAGCCTCAGCAGCTCTGCGTGGGTGTGTGTGCCCCGCTGCTGCTCGCCTTATCCACGCTGGTGTATACCACTGTGGGCTGAAGAGGTGTGTGGGCTATGCGTTCCAGCACTCAATCACGGGAAATGTGCATCTCCACTGTGGTCCGATGTATAAGGTAAGAGTAATTATGATGATAATTTTTTGCTTTATTTGCCTGCGCTGCCGTGCTGTGTGCTCCGCGTTGTTCTCGCATTCGCCTCATTGAACGCATCACAGACACGCTCATATGTATGCGTACTGGTGCCTTGGGTGTTTTTATTCTTGCTGTTCTATCTTTTTTAAGACCCATGGTATGCAGGGCGGTGTTCTAGTTCTGCAATCGTACGAGTTCCATGTGCCTCATGGTGTGTTGCTTCTGTTGTTGCTGCCACTTGTTACTGTCCGGTGGCTGTGCTTGGCTTTTAAAGAGTTTTCCCTTTTGCTTTCACTTTGCGTTGACGTGTTGTTAGTTTGTGCTGAAGGCTGCACGCAAGTGACAGGAGTGATGGCGATGATGATGACTGGCCGTGTGCTGCTGGTGTGTGCCCTCTGCGTGCTGTGGTGCGGTGCCAGCGGTGGCGATGGTAGTGTGGATGAGTATTCCTTTGCGGGACGGCGTGCTTGGCTGCGGAGGGAATGCGTGGAGGAGGTTGGCAGGAGGACAGGAGGCGGTGCGAATGTGTCCGCCGTTGAGGAATGCGTCCATCAGGGGATGGAGAGTTTGCGTGCCGTTGTGGATGGCCGTCGTCGTTGGAGGCGGCAACAGTTTGCCGTGGCTGCTGCTGCTGAGAACACTGAGGAACGCGTCAAAATTAACACCTCCAATGAAGGGGAAGGTTTGTCGGGAGGTAATGGTGTGGAGTCTGAACAGGCGCAATTACAAGTAGAGGACTTGCGGACTGCATCAGGTGACGGTGGTGTACAACCAGAAGGTGCGCCATTGGAGGGATCGAATGCGAACTCCGTTCTCCAAACGAAGGCGTCACCGGCAAAAGAAGCAAAGCAGGTTATCCCTGCAAGCAGTTCATCTATGAGATTACCAAGCGATCAACAAGAGGAGGAAGAAGTGGAGGAAGAGGAGGTGGAAGAGGAGGAAGTGCAAGAGGAGGATGATAATTCAGGTAAGGCCGGTAAAGCGCAAGAATTATTAGGCTGCGGTCAACAGGAGACGCTCCAGTCATCTTCTCCTCCAGGAGGAAATCCTTCGGCCAGCGGCCAGGGGACTGCACTCACTGCGGCGGACAACAAAAAAAATACACAACTGGAAGTGGCAAAAGAAAAAGTCTACTTGGATGAAAGCGCACCAACCGAAGGCAACCCATCTGCCACAAAACCCAGCGACGACAAACCAACTATACGTCAGGCGTATACAATTCCAATATCTCCTCCCAGTGTCAATTTTTCTGCCACACTTCGAGGCACGACTGACCGTCCCATACCACCAGCACAAGTTGAAGCTACCACCTACGAAACCCGAAATAACGCGGCATCGCACGACAGCAACAGCCGCACCCACATCTCCAAAGGTGTGGGCAGCGATTCCACTGAGGGCGTGGCAAAAAACGCTGTGAATACAGAAGTTAGCACAAAGACGGATGGCACAAACAATGCAGCACCCGACAGCAAAGAGTCCACAAAAGCACCGGACAGCGCCAACAATAAAATAATCACAGCGACACCCATCAGCAGTGACAGCAGCGCCGCGGTCTCCCACGCCACCTCCCCTCTTTTGCTTCTTCTTGTTGCGTGTGCGGCTGCTGCTGCGGTGGTGGTGGCCGCGTGAGAGTGAGCGAAAGAGAGCCGTGCACCGCCCGCACACACACGCGTCTTTCACTCTCTCTGTGTGTGTCCCCTTGCATGGACTCTCGCCCTCACCTCACCCCACGAGGCACACACATAATGTGCCCATTGTATATATGCATGCACACCCATGCAGGCCCGTTGGTGCTCTCTTTTGCACGACACGCACCGCTTCCGTCCTGCCTGGCTGCATGGGCGGAGCACCGTAACTGTTTCTGTTTTGTTTTTATTGCATTGAGTGGGCGACCTCTCTCTCTCTCTCCCTCTGTGTGTGTGTTTTGCTTTACGGGAGCAATGAGAGTGTGTGTGCGCTGGTCGTCCCGCGCTTCGGTAATTTTCTTTTTCTTTTTTCTTGAATCTCTGCTTGTTTTGTGGTTGGGTGCACCCATTTTACTTTCATTGATTGGTTTTCTTCTTAAACTGCGGATGGCTGAATATGCCCTTGTGTATTCTCCTGTTATTTGTTTCTTCCCACGCAATCGGTCCTTGTTGCTTCAGCGAGCCACGAAATATTTGCCTAACACCCACATCAATGGCCTACTTGCTCTACACCCCACATTAGTTTGAGACGCTGGTGCTGCTGCATGTGATGATGTTTATGGTGTGATTGCCAGCGGTGCTTTGCTGTCACTTTGACGTACCCTCGATTTGTTGAATATGTTATGCGTGCCGACAGGGCGAATTGGATCCGCGTTGTTGTGAGGGACGCACCCTTTTTGAGCGGTGAGTGCGGTGCAGCCATACACCGTCATTGGGAGGGATGGATGCCCATCCGCATCAACGTATCCACAAGGGACCTGGATGATACCGGGAAGTATTGGATCTCAGGGAGGTACTACGCAATGAATTCGTCGAATGACAATTGCGAGTGTGAAGGTGACGTTGTATCCTCCGCGCACGGGAAGATTTTCGAGGATGAAGTTGTCCCTGCTGCTTTCAAACTGCATGCGGATTGTCTGCTCGTGCAGCCACTGGAGGGTCCTTTGATTGTGCCCCCATTTGCCACGGGCAGCGTTTGCATTCGGTTTACGGTGCGTGCTGGGCATTGTTCCACTGGTGTTGCCAATGCTTACATGGTGCTGTCCGTGGCAGAGCGCTGTCGGTGGTGGTGCACTCGACGACTGCCGTGATGGCTGCGAGGAGCACCACGACTGCGACGACATTGATGGCATGGAGCTGCTGGATGGCGATGGGGACGGGAGGACGCTGGAGTCGCACTGGTCGCAGCGCCACGCGAAGGATGAGTGGATGTCACCGATTGGTCGTGCCGTCTGCCGCACGGAGTTGACGCTGGCCGCACCGGCTGACCTGGGCTGCATGAGGGTGAGGTGGGATATGGCGGAGCCGATGCGCTGGTGAAGGAATTCGTGCTGTGCACTGCTGCGGTGGAAGTGCTCCGCACCGAACATGAGTGAATATCCCCAGATGTTCTGAAAAGCGGGAGTTCATGCAAGACGCTGCACGTTGGATCGTTATTCCAGTGGTTGGTGTGTAGACGGAGTATCCATGAAGGTCAGCAAAACGCCCGATGGACAGTTGCCCCGTCACTGGTCCCGCACTGGATGTGAGGGATGCTGCCGCTGTTATTTGGAGGGGAGAATATTTGTCTGCGGTGCCTGGGGACAAGCCCTCTTCGTGGTGTCTGGACACGCTTCCCACCAACACGACGGATGCGAGGGACCCGGAAGAAACATACATCTCGGTGCTGTCATGCATGCGGCATTGCGGTGCCTCGGCATGCGGGTGCGTCTGAGAGTGAATGAGAAGGGTAACGCCCGTTGAGCCCCATGCACAGCCGAGGCGACGATTACGTGGGTTGCTCCGCCCTACGACGAGGGAAAAGCTATTTTCCGTGACCACGCGCAGGTGTGCACGATATCCGTCACCAGCGGCAGCCTGCTTCCAATAGTTTCGTGGGACGGCGATGTGAGAGAGGGTGTGTGGAGCAGGACGGTTCCACTGGCATCTACTGAACAAGCTTTGCCACGGGCATCCGTCCCCGATCCAGAGAGCATTGGGACCGGCCGTGGCACACCACCGAAGGATGTGGACACGGCTGCTCCCCAGAAGCATCCGTCGCCAGAGGAGAAGGAAGTTGCCTCCGGTGCCACGACGGCAACGGAGTGCTCTTGCCCAGCGACACCGCGGGTGCGCCGCAGGAGGCGGAGAAGGAGCGCGATCTTCCGGACAGCGACGATGTGGCCGCCGATGGTGTGGCGTCTGTTCTAGGACAATCATTAGGAGATGAGGCCGCCAGCGACAAGGCCGGTGGCGGTGCCACAGCCACGGGACCCAGGAGCCCTGATACCGCTGATGCCGCTGATGCCGCGCAGGGCGCCGTGGACCCTCCGCCGAGGGAGGATGACGCGGCGGTGGGGCGCGGGGTTGGGAGGCAGACATGAAGAACGCCCCGCCTCCGGTCCACGGCAATAACACTGCGGCTGCTGCTTGTCCCTTTCCGCTGATTCTTCTGCTTGCCGCTGCGGTGCCAACACTCAGCAGTGGGTGCAAGAGAGAAAGGCCTATATCAACTGGCACGTTCCTGTCAGTATATACATACACTCTGCTTGTCTGTATACTTTGTACCAGGGACATGCTGTATGCACTCTCCCTCTTTTGTGTTGTTCGCTGATTTGTCGGCACCACGCGTGTATTATGGGTTGGGATAACCATTTGTTTGCCTTCTTCTGGAGGATACTGTGGGGTGTTTGTGTGCGTGTGCGAGGGATCTGTGTGGTTTTGATTTCCCTATTTTTATTTACCTGCTTTGGCATTGTGTAATGATACTTCCTTCTCCATTATGTGTGTTCTGAAGTGTTGCTAGGGCACCGGGAGTGGATGCCTGTGGACGCACGCCGTGCATTATGCGCTACATTGGTGGGAGGGGAGACTGACATAACTGGCGGGATTCAGTAAGGCGTATTTTGCCCACGGACCCTGCAGCTGCAGATGCCTGAGTGGCGCTTTGCATATGGACGTGTGGATTGTTTCTCTCTTGCGAGGCCTTTTTTACTGCGTGTCATTTTCCGCTCGGGTGCCGTGCCCGTGGCAGCAGCGGCGGCATCAAAAGGGCTGTGTGTGTGTTTGGAGAGTCCTTGATTGAGTGCCTACCTTACTTCTCTGTTCTGTCGATTGATTGTACCGTGTGCCGGCCAAACGGTTGACATGACGTTCTTCTGACGGCGGGGTCCACGTGAGACGATGTTGCGTCGCGTGCTTTGTTGCGGGTGTGTGATTTCCGCAACGGTTTTTGGGCGGTTGACTGTTGGGTCGTTGAGGGCGGCGTGGCGACGGGTGTGGATGGACCCGATTGTGTGCCGCGGGAAGGAGGAAGGCGGCGGAGCGATGGACTCACGAGGAGTGCGGTGGCGTGCAGCCATGAAGGTTGGCGACAGGGAACTCACTGCCGCTGTGAGTTGCCGTGTGTGGTGTTTGTTTCTGTTATTATTGCTTGCGTTGTTGGATGTGGCCGCTGTGGGGGAAGACTGTTTTTTGTTTCTTTTTCACGCCGTTTTGGGATCCTTTTCTGCACCGGCATCACTGTGTTCTTGCCGTACTGTTGCGCCCTCTTTCCCTTCCATTTGGGGGCAGCTGCGGGTGGGTTTTACATGCCGTGGAGTTGTGTGCCGTGCTGTCCGGTGTTTCATTGCTGCCTGTTCTTCCTGCGTGCACGCGTCCCCCATGCTCATGACAGCAGCCCTCATGCAAACGCTACTCCTCCTTTTCCATGCTGCTGATGTGTGTGTTCTTCTCATCCTCCTCTCTTTGTCCCTCCCTAGACTGTGTGTGCAGCCGTGATGATGATGACGATGACTGGCCGTGTGCTGCTGGTGTGTGCCCTCTGCGTGCTGTGGTGCGGTGCCGGCGGTGGTGGACGAGCTGAAGCACCTCAAGCTCCTTCGGATACTCCGCCTGGTAATAACACTAAAAATGAGAATTCGACCGTCGTTGGCGCTGGAGGAGGTGTCCAAAACGGTGAACAGGCAGAGCTACAAGAAAAATCACCAAAGGCGTCACGATTACCGGAAGTGCAAGCGGAAGCGAGCCTGCCACCGGCACCAAAACCCGAAGGAGAAGCATCAGAAACGGCAAGTACAACGAAGGACAGAAAGGGTCAAAAAGAAGAACAAAAAACGGAGAAAAAAGAAGAGAAGGAGGAAAACGAAGAAGGCGAAGAAGAGGAAGAGGAAGAGGAAGGAGAAACTGCTACCGGCACCACAGGGGAGATCTCAGCAGGCGGTCAAGAGCAGCCAATTTTATCTTCTGGTGCGGCGGGAGCATCGAATATAACAAATCCCAACAGCACCCAAACAACTGGAGACGATGATCCAGCAGCTGATGGTGCAGGGACACGAGAGGGAAAACAAAATGAAAATAAAGATGCCAATCCGAAGGAAACACCAGTGACGGCCGCAGCCATGAAAACTACAACGGCGAAGTCTGGCGACAGCGACAGCAGCACCGCGGTCTCCCACACCACCTCCCCTCTTTTGCTTCTTCTTGTTGTTGTTGCGTGTGCGGCTGCTGCTGCGGTGGTGGCCGCGTGAGAGTGAGTGTGAGAGAGCCGTGCACCGCCCGCACACACACTCTTCCTTCTCTCTCTGTGTGTGTGTCCCCTTGCATGGACTCTCGCCCTCACCTCACCCCACGAGGCACACACATAATGTGCCCATTGTATATGTGCATGCACACCCATGCAGGCCCGTTGGTGCTCTCTTTTGCACGACACGCACCGCTGCCGTCCTGCCTGGCTGCATGGGCGGAGCACCGTAACTGTTTTTTTTTCTCCGCTTACGATTGTTTTAATTGTTTTTAATTTTTCTTTGCTGTTTGCTTTAAAATATTTTAAATGGTTTTTTCTCTAGTTGTGTGATTTTTTTCTTAATTTTTTTTCTTTTTTTTTTTGTGTTTGTTTTTACTTTTTATTTTTCTTTTCTCTCGTTTCGCCATTCCTCTTTTTTGCTTTGGGGGCAATCAATATGGACGTTTTTTCTTTTCTACTCTTCCCTCTTTAATTGTTTGTTGCTGCACTCTTCCTGTGAGGGGTGCCGTGTGTTTCCCGCCCAACTGCTCCACTCGCACACCCACCGACACGCTCACGACGACGGCCCTGTGCGCCTCGCCTGCTGCACGCATGAGGAGGGGCCGCGACGAACGGCGCGCTGAGGGAGCCGTGACGTGTGGGCGTGCGACGAGGGCCTGTGGGGCGGAGCACACATTTCTTCCCTCCTGTTTTGTTTTCTTTGCGGTCAGGGCTGGCAGACACCCGCAGCGCCACACACACAGCCACACCCTGCCGCCGTGTTTTTCTTTAAGGATTTGTTTTGTTTTTTTGCTTTTGTATTTGTTGCCATCGTGTGTGGTTGTTGATGTCGGGACCGTACCGCATTTGTCGCTGCTCTCCAGTTGTGCCTGTTGCTCTGTTGATGTGCCTCCCTGTGCTCCTCTTCTCTTCTGCTCCTCCAGCACACCCACACACACTTAGTTGCACAGTGCTCTGCAGGAATGTCTTGGTGACGGCGGGACGTTGGCCTGCATCCCGTGCTGGCATAGTATGGTCGCTGCGTGTCTACCGTTGGCGGTGGGAATCACGGTGTCATTGGATGGATGCGTGTGGTACGCTTTTGAATTGTGCTGGAGGCCGGCTGACGTGGCTGCACGATGTCCGCCATGTGTGGAGGTGTTGCCTGCTCTTGGGGTCATTCTCCACTCTCCTGTGTGTTTGCTCTGCCGGGAACGTGCGTTGCTCGGTGTGTGCTGACGCGTGACGGACGGTGCCACGATGGCCTTCTCTGGAGATGACAGTTGCTGTACTCTCGGCACACATCCACAAGACTCTTTATTGTCTCTCTGTGGGAGTGATTGCGGCAGGGCATTGCTGCGGGCGTGACGGGGACCACG